GCTGTGACTTGTGTTCCAACTGGTTTCATGGCGCCTGTGTCGGAATCACCGAGAAGGAAGCCAAGAAGCTGGAGGACTTTGTTTGTAATGACTGTAAACGTGGACAGGAAGGAGAAAGTAACGAGGAACTGTACTGCATCTGTCGGACACCGTACGACGAGTCACAGTATGTCACATGGAATATCTTAAGAATCCTTTGAACTTTCATAGCCTGACTCTTTTCCCATGATGCATCACAATTTCTCCTTTAGGTTTTACATTGGCTGCGATCGTTGCCAAAACTGGTACCACGGGCGCTGTGTGGGCATCCTGCAGAGCGAGGCCAATCACATAGACGTGTACGTGTGTCCGCAGTGTCAGTCGACCGAAGACGCCATGACGGTCCTCACGCCTCTGACGGATAAGGACTACGAGGGGATAAAGAGAATATTACGCTCCCTACAGGTGAAGAGTGTTTTCAATCTTTGCACGTTTACTTGTTGGTCTGTGTCACATGACTCGGTTCAGACAGTTTTAGGTGGGTGGCATAGTTGTTAAGGAAGCGGACGTGGGTCCGGAAGGTTTCAGGTTCGAGTCCACCATCTGCCAAGTTACCACTGAGGTGCTCTGAATGTGGCACCGTCCTCACACACTGCTCCACGGGTGTTAACGCTGCCCCCTGCTGGCTGTGGTGATGGGTTAAAAGCAGAGGTCACATTTGATTTGGTGCAGTGGTGTGTTCTGTCACAATGACAACTAGTTCACTTTCCTTCCTTTATTTGACTTCTAAATGATTCAAAACAACTTTTTTCAGGACTTTTTTTGGGAAGTGCATCTTTCAACTCTCTAACCTGTCTGTAGCCGGGGTGCGTAGCCGGGGTCCAGACAGATTTGTGAAAAGTGTTATTGAACGTCATGATTAATGGGGACAAATTGGGACCATGATTCATCATCATTAACATTGGACGTGCCACAGCTAATTAATCAGATTAATTATTAAGAGTCTGATCTTTTTGTAAAACAGTCTCACAAAATGGCCTGGCCTTTTCTGGAACCCGTGGATCCC